AAGTTCTCGGTTCCAACCTCTGAGGTGGGTGTGTACTGATGAAACGTCGGTCGGTCCCAAACTAAGACAACGGAAACAGCCGTCCAGTACTCCATACACGTTTTCCAATCATCCTCTCTAACTGATGATGTCAGCTTATGATGAAATCCGTGTAAATCATCAACACTTCTTGAAGACTCAATAGGATTGTTTGTGCCCGTGCGCTTACTTATGTACGAGTGAGTGAGTAAGTGAGATTGTCATCAGAGTGGAGATAATTAAAAATTCACAGTTTACTTGTCATACACACTGTAACTTATATGAAATGCATAGTATACCTACCTACCTATGGAAATGATGTACTTTTCTTTTCTTTTGTGAAACAAACATACAAGGTCATTCTAATTTAAATAAAATGCATCATCATCATCATAGAAGATGATCATGTGTGTACGAGAAAATGAAGAATACAGAATACAGAATATCTGATATAGTTGTCTTTTCACATTTGTAAGATACGACGACTTCAGTGTGGCATTTAAAAAAGAAAAAAGAACATTTTCCACTTAAACAAAGTACGCCTTATTATTATCATTATTATTCATAGAAAGAATTTCTAAAAGATCGAAATGATAAGAACAGAAATCTGATCTGATCTGATCTGATCGAGGTAAGTGATAATTAATCACGGGGGTATTTATAAACTGCCAACTATAATCTATGCAGATTGTGGATTCTGTAGGGACACCCCAGTCTAGTGCAGACATCAACGCGATGTTTCGAAATATCGCGGATTGTTTCAACTAAACACCAGTGCAATTCATGTGGAAGGCAAGTCGTGATCAAACTTTTAGAAACAAACCAAATCCCTACGAAGGAACTCTTGAGAACATCAGTGCTGTTTGTCTCTTTCTTTTTATATTCAAACACTGATCATCACACAATTTAGACATAGGTTGTAAGTGTAATTTTCTACAGTAATCACCATCATTAAAAGTCAGAGAGCATTGGGCAGTTGTGATTCTTTGATCCTAGTTTGACAGTCCTTAGAAGTGTACATCAACGATCCTACCAGGGACCAAACTCTGGATCTTTAGTTTACCAGGCGATTTCGGGTCGAAAGTTGGTTACGTATCAATTCCGAATTTTTCAGTTCTTCATATTTCTTTTATTCCTTTACGTTCTCACTGGAACATAGGGATTCAAGCTAGAGGCTGGGTTTGCTAATCTCATTCGCAACATTGCTTTTTTACCAGTCTTGTTACTGGCTTAGCGAGGTAAAGGCGTGCATCAGCCGGGGTTCAAAACTCGAACCATATGCGTGGTCGGCGAACATTCTACTGCTGTGCTACCGACGCGCAGTTCATCATATAGCGCGAGCGAAAATCACTGCTATCGGTGGACATCCACTTCACCTTTGGCATGGTAGACTAGACACCATTAAAGTTTCAAGACTTCCATATTCAATAGTCACCAATGAGTTGGAGCTTGACGTTTCGATTATGAGTTAATCTCTGACTGATGTTGATTCGTGACCCGAATCTGGATTGAAACTATTTTTTTTTCAAGTTAATTTTTGAGTAATCCTAACATCAGTCAGTCTCTCGCATCATTATTCGAGAGAGCATTCAGGCATGTACACCAAGAGTTTCAAAGATTGACATGTACACAGAGATACATCCCAGACAGTTGTATCTTTCTCTTTCAAAAATTGGTTCAAGAATGGTGCAAGGGGGATCATTTACGAACCACACTACATGGAAGTGACGGCGTTGGTTAATGGCATCTAAACAGACATACCAATGATGAACCAGTCCCATCTAGAAGGAAAACATTATAGTGATATGACTCAAATACGTGTAGATAACTTTTACTCGAGTGTCCGACACGTCTCCGACTATCTAGAGTTTCATTACAAGAACTAAGTTTACAAAAACTGAGTTAATGCATAGACAGAATGAAAAAAATGCATCTAACTCCGAAAGCACCTAACTCTTTGATATCTGTACTACCAGTTTGAAAAACAAACCCAGAGCAATGTAACATTGGCGTTGAGAGCAGCTTATTCACAACCACGCTCTTTGGAATTCCAACCCATACAATTGTCACCATCAAGAAGTCAGCCTGTATGTGAATTATGTTGTAGCTGAATATCAAGACAAACATCGTCTACGACATCTTCCTTGCAGGCGTGCGTTCCACACAGATTGCACTGATGTTTAGTTGAAGCACTCCGCGATATATGTCCGAAACATCGCGTTGATGTCTGTACTAGAGGGGGCGTCCCTACAGAATCCACAATCTGCATAGATTATAGTTGGCAGTTTATAAATACCCCCGTGATTAATTATCACTTACCTCGATCAGATCAGATTAGATTTCTGTTCTTATCATTCTGACTTTTTAGAAATTCTTTCTATGAATAATAATAATAATAATAATAATAATAATAATGATAATAATAATAATAAGGCGTACTTTGTTTAAGTGGAAAATCTTCTTCTCTTTTTTTAAATGCCACACTGAAGTCGTTGTATCTTACAAATGTGAACAGACAGATATATCAGATATTCTGTATTCTGTATTCTTTTTCTCGTACACACATGATCATCTTCTATGATGATGATGATGCATTTTATTTAAATTAGAATGACCTTGTATGCTTGTTTCACAAAAGAAAAGAAAAGTACATCATTTCCATAGGTAGGTACACTATGCATTTCATATAAGTTACAGTGTGTGTGACAAGTTAACTGTGAATTTTTAATTATCTCCACTCTGATGACAATCTCACTCATTGACTCACTTACTCATACATAAGTAAGCGCACGGGCACAAACAATCCTATTGAGTCTTCAAGAAGTGTTGATTATTTACAGGGGAAGCAATGGTTTCAGGATTTCATCATGAGCTGACATCAGTTAGACAGGACGATTGGAAAACCTGTATGGAGTACTGGATAGCTGTTTTCGTTGTCGTTGATTGGGACCAACCGACTCTTCAGCAGTACTCACCCACCCATCTGAGGTTCGAACCCAGGACTTTCTGGTTACAAGGCGAGCTAGCTCGTAGACCATTCTCAGCCAGTGGGACCTAGTCGAGTGTCGAATTTCTTGCCATTCATAAAAACTCATCTAGATATACAAATAGTGTGAATTCCGCTTATTCAGTCTTTTTAACACTACCGTGTTTTCTTGCTGTCTTAGTGTACAATATAACTTTGCTTGACTACTAAATGTGTTGTCGACGTGAATTAAATACAGTGTGGATAATTAGTTCCAAATAGTTTTCATTTCTATATCGATAGGAAGAAGTTGAAAGAAAAATATTTTAAATTGAATAAAAGAAGGAGGAGCAAAGTGGATGAAAAAAACAGGGCCAAATGAGACAAACCGAACAAGATCTAAGGTAAATGTAGGAGGTTGAACTATTTTCTTTTAAACACACAGCTCCTATTCTCCAAGGCATATGGCAGTACAAAGAAGTCGGAAAAACACTGCCTTTGGTAGATTTTTGTTTACTTTGTAAATGACTCGGAATGATGCTTGAGTGGAGATGCTGTGACAGGTTATGGGGAAAATCGCTGAAAACGAATTGGTGTAGGTTGGTATTCAAGGACCACTGCGTCGAATCCCATTGCTTGGATGGTCTACTAACTCGCCTTGTAACCTGAAGCTCATGGGTTTGAAAGCCAGGTGAGTGAATACTGTCAATGAGTCTTAAACCTGGAAGAAACAACTGTCCAGTACTCCCAGCTGACCTTCCAATCGTTCTCTAACTGGTATCAATCCGTGATCAAACTTGAAAAGTATTGATGTCCATCAACAAAAATGTACCATTCTTTGAAAGCCAAAAAGATGTCTAGCCAGGTGAGAACATTATGACTAATGGTGAAGTATTTCATATATATGTAAAGAGAAATGGACTCACACAAAAAACTTGGAGGATCTGGACTTCGCCGATGATATATGTCTGATTTCCCACAAACTGGAAGATATGCAAGTGAAAAGCAACAAGTTGGTAGAAGAAGCATCCAGAGAAAATAGGACTTCAGGTGAACATAGAGAAAACAGATATGGTGATGAAGATTCCTGGGCAACCCCACCAAAAGCAACAACAACAGACAACAATCAGCATAAATGGGAGGAACCTGAAAGAAACAACCTCCTTTACCTACCCACCTACCTGGGAAGCATCGTTTCAACTACAGGCCGGCGGAACTGACGAGGATATCAAAGCGAGGAACATCGGGAAAGCAACACAAGCTTTCATTACTCTCAAGTCTGTGTGGAGGTCAAGAGCACTAAGCATCAAAAATAAGATCCGGATTTTCAACTCAAATGTGAAGTCAGTCAGTGCTACTCACCATACGGATCAGAGACTTGTACTGCGCGTCATAAAGAGCATCTCAAACAAACTACAGACCTTCATCAACAGCTAGTTGTCTTCGCTCAATACTCAAGATGAGATGGCCTGCCAGAAAAGATCAGCAACAGGGTGGGATCTCTGGGAGCGAACCAACCAGTAACCGATTGTGGAACAAATAGGCAGGAAGAAATGGAAATGGATTGGCTGGCCATACTCTGAGCAAAGAAAACATCAAGTGACATCACTAGACAAGCCATCGCTCGAGTGGAACCCGAAAGGGAAGCGGCAAGTTGGTTGTCAGTGCGAGGGCGACTTGGAGGAGGTCATGTGAAGAGGAGATGAAAACGTGTGGGTGGCAGACTTGGAGCCAGGTGAAGACTCTAGCAGAGAACCGAACGCAATGGAGACGCACGGCTGAAGCCCTATGTTCTTCTAGGAATTAAAGGAAACAATAATAATAAGAATAAATATAATGAAGAGAATTTCATGACAAGGACACTCATATTTTCGAGTAGAGCATTCACAACTTTCACTCTAAAGGATTATGTCACATGCAGCTTAAAACTAATGTCCAGTGAAATAATTACCTTAATCAAGAAGCAAAAAGAAATCATCAAAGACTGTTACAATTTAAAACTAAGTTAACGACTTACTCCACGAGTTTGTCCCATCTGAACAGAACCAAAACGTTTTAACCCGCCAGATTGATCATCGTTTTGACTTCTTCCTATAGTCATATCACGTGGATGAGACCTATTCAGTGTATGCATGCTCACAGCTGTAAAAAACAAAGCAAATAAATAGATAAAATGGATTAATATATAGTTAGAAATCATGATGTCAAAAGAAAACTATACCACTTGAATGCAGTAAGTAGATCAACAAGACCATACTGTGGCAACAAGTCAGCCACTGAGAATCGTTATCAATGGAGCAGATGCATCCACTTCTTGTGATTTATAATATCCAATAAAAGTATATTGTTCTTCGATATCACTATTCTTTTTGTCTCATGTCTCTGTATACTATCTCTATTTTGCATTCCTTTTTACTCTCTTCTCTTGCTTTGTGTGCTAAGTGAAGTGTGGCGACTTGAACTGCTGCACATTGGTGCAAAGTTCTACGCTGAAACTAGTAAGTCAGCCAGTCAGACTGAGAAGTAGAGTTCAAGCAAGGGTCACAGACATCAGTATCTCTATAATGGATTTAAATAAGAATGGTGTCAGTGAACATTACTACTGATGGACATCAGCGAATGTCATCAATTCAGAAGACAACTCTCTATAAACACCAACACCAAGTGAGTACTGCATGAGTTCGGGTAAAACACTTTGATCATTATGGTCATAGACGATTTAACTTCGTGGATGATCACACAAACTCGCAGATTTACAAGTGAAAATCAACAAGTTGACAGAAGAGACAGAGAGAAAAAAGGATTACAGAATAACATAGAGAAACAGAGGCGATATGGGAGAAGCTCTACTGGACTCAGCGTAGAAAGTAAGACTCGGGTTTTCAACACTATTATCAAGTCAGTGCTCTTATTTGGTTCGAAGATTTGGCGCGTCACCAAAATCATGTCGAACAGGCTTTTGTTAACAGGCGTCTTCAATCAATTCTGAAGATCAGCAGGGCCGGCTAGAAACGATTAGCAACAAGGAAGTCTGGCGACGAACAAATCTAGAACCTATTGCCCAACAAATACGTTGAAGGAAATGGCGGTGTACATGCTGAGGAGACAGTTGAGTGACGTCGTGTGTGCCAGGCTGTCAAGTAGAATTCGAATGAGACAGAACAAGTTGGACATGGAGGTGACGTGGAGGAGGTCGTGCAATAAGGAAATGACAACTTATGGGCAATCATAAAGTTGGCCAAAAGGGACTGTGGGGGATGGTGGGGGGGAACGGCGATCTGCTAAAGCCCTATCTTCCAAGGGACGAATAATAATGAAATAGTATAACAGTTATTATCTAGCCTGGCAGATAATCTGAACAACGGAGTACAAAATACAAAATGTAAGGAACAATACAGAAACGATGCACACAGCACTTATTTACTCGATAAATGAATTTCTTCGATACAATCCTACATTTTATTCAAATTTAATACACTTGGAAGATAAACGAAAACTGGTTACATTAGATGACTGGAGGCGATCACCAGGAAGCCTTCCACCTAGATTTCATGCTTCCTGACACTACTCGTCAGCAAGATGTATCTGCAACCTTGAAAGAGCTCATGTCCCCTGTAAGCTTTGAACCCGTGTCACCCAGTGCTGCAGTAAGAGTCATTAGCACTGAGCTATTCGAGCTTGCGATTGACCTCCTGTAGGAACTCAGTCTGCACCAAACAAAGGATTAGACGCACGACACTAGCTATTTATTATCTAGCGTTGAATAAAAGATAACCGGATATTTTTAGAAATCTGTTTCAATGACCTGATTGACCAGCTGTTCATGTATTACAACAAATGAAATCAGTTAAGCACAGTAGGTCATAGGATTCTTTGTAAATAAATAAATTTTGCGACATTACTATTTCATTTATTTCCGTCGCTTTGCATTCCATTTGGAACATAGGATCTCAAGCTTTGGACTTTCAGTATCAACTATATTTTTTTAAATCATGGAAAATTCCCATTGTAACATATAGAAAATCAGAACAAGTGATTCAGCGAAGAGTCTCTTTTCGACGAATTCATTTTCTTAGCTGTACTATCGCAAATATACATATGTGGGTTATTTTGTATGTATGTGTACAATAAGTTTATCAAACAAAATACAATTGGTTATAGTTATTTTAACTAAACAGGTGAAGATTGGTAATTGGAGTTATGTAATACAAAATCAGTCAAGAAAATTAGGTGTTAGTGAAATTAGGGTAGTAACAAAGGTGATGAGTTGTCACAAACAGTTGTTAAAAAAGAAGTTATGTGATAATATGAATAGTTTGATGAGTGAGTTTTACTCAGAATGCACATAGGAACAAAGTAGATAATACGAAATTACATAAGAGTTCTAAATGAATAGAATAAATATAAGCAATTAATTTTGTTTCTTTACCTGTTCTTTAATTGCTTATAATTCTTGTATTCATTTAGAACTCTTACGTAATTTCGTATTCTCTACTTTGTTCCTATGTGTATCCTGAGTAAAACTCAATCATCAAACTATTCATATTATTACATAACTTCTTTTTTAACAACTGTTTGTGACAACTCATCACCTTTGTTACTATCCTTAATTTCATTAACACCTAATTTTCTTGACTGATTTTGTATTACGTAACTCCAATTACCAATCTTCACCTGTTTAGTTTAAATAACTATAACCAATTGTATTTTTGTTTGACAAACTTAATGTACACATACATACAAAATAACACATATGTATTTGCGATAGTACAGCTAAGAAAATGAATTCGTCGAAAAGAGACTCTTCGCTGATCTACGTGTTTTGTTTTCATAAATGCCTGGATGGGGATGATATATTTTTTCGCACGACAGATGGGTTTGCTAGTCGTCTTACGCCTGACCTTCCCTCTTTTTTAAACTTCCTGCTGGCAATGAAAGTAAGTTAGGCTTAGGAATGCGCCGATCAGAAACCGAACCCAGACAATGTATGTGGATGGAGGGTTTTCTATCCGGGAACCACTGACGCACAGAGAATTTAGAAAATTTTTTTTGAATATGCATATAGATATATTCAAGCTCCAAAACATTTAAAAAAATATTAAAATATTTATTTCGCTTACATGATGCATTCAAACCAGTCGGCATACTTGCTGTGCGTCGTTTCAACATGGAACGATTGAACCGTGGATGCGGTCGATCAATATTCATTGTACGATATTGAAAGAAAGTTCGTCCGGTATAACGAAAATGTGATTTACTCAGACTAGGTGTAGGCAGTGGTCGTTTCGGTGCAGGTGTCTCTTTCAATCGAAAGAAAGCATGATGTTCTACGGCAGCCTTCCATAAACGATTAGCCAAATGTGGATTTAACAGACGAAAACCAACTATTGCTTCTACAGGTTCTGACTAAAAAGTAAAACAAACAGCATAAAAAAAGAAAAAAAGAAAGAAAGTAGTAATCAGACCATCATTATCTTTGTTTGGTACAGAAATGTTCATTTATGTGTATGCGGAGAGAGAGGGGGGAGGGGGGAAATATTTCTTACAAACATTCTCTACTCAAAGTGTCCAATAGATGATACATAACATTTCTGTAAAAACAAAAATGGGCTAAGCACAGAAAACAGTAACGAAGGAAATAACAAACGGCCAAGTGCGCGAATACTAGTACTACCACTACTATTTTAATGTTATTACCACAGGTGACTGACTGGTCTCAACATAGAACTTTGCACCAGTGTGCAGCAGTTCGAGTCGCCACACTTCACTCAGCACACAAAGCCAGAGAAGAAAAAGTAAAAAGAAACGCAAAATAAAGACAGTGAATAGAGATATGAGGCATGAAGAATAGTAATATCGAAGAACAATATAGTTTCATTGGAAATTATAGGTCACAAGGAGTGGATGCATGTGCGCCATTCAGAACGACTTTGAACCATATCACAGATTGTCTACAGCCTCCATTGGTGTTTACCATCCCGAGGCACCCAACCAAGAAGTCTACACCTTCCTACATGGCTAAAACTAACTCTTCTGGATTTCATTGAATGATGAAGCCATGTTTCCGTTTGATCACAACTAACTAACTCTTTTCCAACCTGATTCATCATATGTCAACTGACATTGCCCGTCGAGGAAGGCGATGGATGGCTAGGGATACATGCATGCATGCACGCATGAGTAACACATGTCCACGTAAGTGCTTCACAACCTCCTCGATTGATTTCCCCTCCCCTCCATACCTAGCACTCGACCGAAGCATAACCTCAATATTGCTCACCCTATTATGCCACCCAACACACACACACGAGAAATAGAACGCAGACCCTTATAATCAAAGACAGCTAGTTAGGCTTTTCATATTTTCCACTCTCAGTGCCCAGGTCTTACAGCCAGGAAGGAGGATGGAGCGGACTGATGAGCAGTACACACGCCCTTTGGTCGACAGCCAGTCGGATATCACGTCTAAGCCACAAACAGCATAAACTGGCATATGCGAAACTAGCCCTCTGTATCCGTGCTCAGATTTCGTCAGTGATCAATCCGTTGACACTGGCTGATGCAACTTCCGAAATAAGCGAAGTGCTCAACGTGCTCTACCACTTCACTCCCTATTTCTAAGCTAGGAGTCAGTGTAGTTCAGTCCTATAGCATTATCTTACACTTGGCGGGAGCGAATCGCATGCAAAACATTCGCAGACTGCAGCTCAAGGTGTTCAGAAGACTACAGCTGTCGATGAGGATTTACATTTCTCATGTATCTACTCCCATGTAGACATTTTGGCGACCTGCTTAAATCATTGAGTTAGTTAAATTTTCTAACCAGCATATTGCACCTAAATTTCCCCGTTTCTAATTTTTGTTCAAATCATCCAATTATGTTTTAGGATTTGCAGCAAGCAAATTTTAAACTGACTTTCAACCTAATGTTAGGCACTTCAAAAAAATGAATATTCTGTTTGAAAATGCCACACGCGGGGAATAAATATTTTGCAAGAAATTACGCTGAGAATTCTGTATTGTGTGTGAACACAATTTCCAGAATAGAGCTGACACATATTATATTATTATTTTAAAAGGAAGTGAGTTTGTAACTGACCAACTGGAAATCAATCATTATTGTGCTGCTTGAATTCTCTCTTGATGTACTTTGTCAGATTCCTAATTCAAAGTGTTGACGACAATACTGTTTAGTCTGTAGATTGGTATGTATGGAAATTTTGTGACAGTAACACTCTTATCACTAAACCTTCACCACAGGAGCTGAGACAGTAGTATTAGTAGTAATAGCCAGCAGTCAGTTATGCCTTGTATTATGCCGTGTAATCACCACCACCGAGCTGATGGTGATAGACGCGGCGATCACGAGTATCACTTGCCTATGCCAACAACGCATACAAAACAGCTAACTGATCTCTCAGCCCGCAACCTCAGCGATAGCACACCAAAGACGAGACGAAAAATAGCGGTATATTTACACAATAACGTATAATTCAAAAAAACAAACGGGGATATGTCAATTAGTCTGTAATTATGATCAATAAAATAGTGGGCGTATTCTATATATAGACCATAGACCGGTTCTGATTGGTTTATTTTCAGACTGGAAATCGACCACCATTTCACATTTATTTCAACTTCACTGAAATTATTATTTCTATTACTATTATTATTGTTTCCTTTAATTCCTAGAAGAACATAGGGCTTCAGCCGTGCGTCTCCATTGCGTTCGGTTCTCTGCTAGAGTCTTCACCTGGCTCCAAGTCTGCCACCCACACGTTTTCATCTCCTCTTCACATGACCTCCTCCAAGTCACCCTCGCACTGATGACCAACTCGCCGCTTCCCTTTCGGGTTCCACTCGAGCAATGGCTTGTCTAGTGATGTCACTTGATGGTTTCCTCAGAGTATGACCAATCCATCTCCATTTCTTCCTGCCAATTTGTTTCACAATCGGTTCCTCGCTAAGCCAGAAATAATGCTGGTGAAGAGGAAAGGTTGGGCATGAGGCTAGTAACCCCATCCTGTAAAAAAAAACACTGCTACAGAAACTTCTAAGCCACTAGCTTGAAGCCCTATGTTCCACTGGGGAACGTGAAGGAAAAAAAGCATATTCTGTACGGCATAGCATATACATGGATTAACCAACTGACTAGTTGGTAGTTTGATGACAGGCAGAGGACGTTGTTGTACACGTAGACCATTGGTAATCTACAGTATTTAAGAGGCATGGACAGGTATCATCTGCCTATCAAGACAGTGGTGCCACCTTAGTACTCATTTTCCTTGAATAAAAAAGATCTAGTGTCTATAATTTTTTTTAATTACACCACTTATCCCCTCAACATACTTTAGATTTGATGTGAAACACGATGGGTACAAAGGTGAGTTTAGGAAACTGGAGAAATCTTGTCTTGTTAAGTTGGACAAAAAGTCTTCAGTAAACTAATCGTCAATAGCAACTGTAAACATTTTATGTCTACAGACAGGTGAATGAAAAATACTCATAATTCTTTCCAAATTAAAGACTAATTTACTAGAATTTTTCATTTCCTGAAAATACAGTTTGGTTAGAAATTAACAGAATTATAACAAAGCACGAGTGAACATTGGAAATCACACCTGGTAAAATTATCCACTGCTTAGTACATAAGGGTGCGCACACCACCGTTTGAATTTCATTGCACCAGGGGACACGATTACATCGATGACATGATTCACCATTCATGCTACTTAGTGCGACGATGTAATGATCAGATGTTTAATATGAAAACCTGGAGTATGGTATTAACACTTAGAGTAATGAACGCCAGGCTAACGCTTCAATAGGCCTTCAGGTCTCCCAAATCCCAGGATTTTGCAATGAAAGTCGAAGAAATGAAAAGCCCGACTAGCTGTCTTTGATCATACGTGTCTGCGTCCTACCTCCTGTGTGTGTTGAGGTTAGGCTTCGGTCGAGTGTTAGGTAGGTGGGAGGGGAAATCAATCGACGAGGTTGTGAAGCAGTTACAAAGATTGAGAGAGATGGTTAGGACATGTGTTACGCATGCATGCATGAATGCATTCCTAGCCATCCATCGCCTTCCTCGACGGGCAATGTCAGCTGACATAGGACGAATCAGGTTGGAAAGAGTTAGTTAGTGGTGATCAAACGGAAACATGGTTTCATCAGTCAATGAAATCCACAAGAGTTAGTCAGTCAGTCAGCAGCCACTACGTCGGGAGGTGTAGACTGCCTGATTTACGAGTCGGGGTCCTCGGGATGGTAGGAAGCAATGAATGCTGGAGACAGTTGTTGATATGGATGAAAATCGTCGTTGTCTGTGGTTGACTGGTGCAGATGCATCCACTCCTTGTGATTAATAATATCCAATAAGAGTATATTGTTCTTACATATTACTATTGTTTGTGCCTCACTGACACTGCTGTTTATTATCTGTCTCGCCTTTGAATCTTTGTGTACTGTTTTCTGTTGGTTTGTGTGCTTGAAGGAGGTAGTGTTGTGACTGTAACTGGTGCACATCTGTGGAAAGTTCTATGTTGAAACCAGTCAGTCAGTCAGTTAGTCGGGATTTTGCATAGTTGTCGTGAGAATGAATGGCAAAGTAAACTGATCACTAATCAACGTGATTAAACACCAAACGGTGGTTGTACATTCATTACAAGTCCGATTTCAACAGATAGGAGAAGATGAGAAAAGGTGTTTTTTCTTGGTGAAGTTGTATGCAGAGCATTCATTCCACTATCTAAGAAATACAATGATGTAATGAGATTACAGCTTAGCAGTAATCAACTTGTACACAATACCACACAATACTTTTTTTAGTTGCTTTTATTCTCTGGATAACAGACAATTAAAAATGATTTCTAAAAATTGAATGGTAACTTGAATGACACTAAAATGTGTCGTTTAAAAAATAAAAAAAGTAGTAAATCATTCGTAAATTAAAGAGGAGAGAGAGAAACAACACAGAGAGAAAACTTGAATAAAAGGAATGAAATAAGGGAGCTGATTTAAGCATCACTGCATATTGTATCACATGACTTGTGATAAAAATATGAGCTCAAATATATATATATATATACGCTAGTCACAAACAACTGTCCTTTACACCCACAGTAAGAAATTTCGATTCAATTTACTATAAAGACTGCATCAAAAATCAACAAATTCAGACTTTGCTAATTAAAGTAAGTAGGTAAGTCAATAGGCGGGATACATAAACCGAAATCAGGGTTCACTTGATAATATCCACGAAAAAGTCGAGATTACTATTATTATTGCTTCCTTTAATTCCTAGAGGAACATAAGGGTTTCAGCCCTGCGTCTCCATTGCGTTCGGTTCCCTCCTAGAGTCTTCACCTGGCTCCAAGTCTGTCCACAGGTTTTCATCTCCTTTTCACATT